CTGTGAATTCCGTTATACTTTTGAAAGTATTTATCGCCTTCCTGATCATATTTTTTAAACTCCTTAACAATATCTTGACAAACATATGAAAATTGTTCTTTAATACGTTCTGCCACTTTCAAAGAGTCTTCGGGAGGAATTGAAGTTTCATTACGATCACGAAGAAGTTGTTGAACAAAATATGTAATATCACGGCCAGCAATTGGGATGTGCTTAATTGACGATCCCACTACGTAACCCTCGGCCTAAGAATAAATTTAAAGATATTTTCAAATAAATGAAAGATTATATTCATATAGCAAACATATATATAGACATACCACAGGAATGACATGAGTAACACCGTCTCCGCTGTCAATGACAGTACCGGTTAATACAAAATCAGATGTTTTATTGGACTCCCAACTAGCGGCCAATGCTAAAACAGCTTGAACAGCTATGTAAAGTCCTTGGATGTTAAAAGATTCAAACATAATTTCAGCTGTTTGTTCTCGGTTCTCTGGCGCATTGAGCGGAGGTTCCGTCTGGTTATTATTATTTATCATTGTTCAACACAATGCGATAGTTAAATATCCTTTAACTCAATGCTAGAGGGGAATTAATCAAAATTCAGCAATCTCATTTATAAAATTTTGACTACTCACCAAAAGAAAATAATGATCCTCAGGTTCGCACCTTAGATACTTGAAAATACTTTGTTCCCAGAAACGTTCCATTTGATCCCAATTATCGATTTGTCCGTGTCGAATTGGATAGTGTAATCCATATGTTTTAGAATTTAATATGGCATCATTTCCAATAAAGAAGTCTAAATCTTCGATACCACGCTTTGAAGCGATGTTTCCAGAAATAGAAGGTTTAGACTGAAGGGCTGTTCCAGACGTGCTGGTTGAAACTGAGTCACGCGTAGCAATCACTGTGGGAAAGACAAAAGACGGTGCATTATTTCCAGCGAAGCCCAGCTTCGTGTACCTATTTGAAATAAACGATGAATTCAATTGAACTCTATATTGAGAAGAAAAAGAAATTATGTTTACTAACCCAGTTCCATTATCCATAATTACTGGCGGAAGTCTCAACGACATTTTGAAAATAACTTTATAGTCGAATGACCAAGAGAAGATGTGAGATTCACTGATTTTTATGATCCATTTTGTATCAGATGTTGCTGTGATGCAGGCCGATTGATCTTCAAACTTTTAATTCTGGCCTATGAGTGAGGTGCATACTATATAGAAAATCGGGTCGGTTATCCACCCCGTAAAATTTCCTATTTCCCAACAACCGTGCTCGTGTTTAAAGATGCAAACGGCTGGCTCCGACCGGCTAACGGCTCGCCAAAACAGAGCTGAGCTATTTTTGAGCTGAGCCGTTTTTTAGCCAAGCCGTTTTTTCACTTAGTCACTTAGATCAGTGTTGTCACTTGGCCAATGGCCGA